CACTCACCTCAGCTCCCAAAGTGCTGGGATTACAGGCTGAGCCACCGAGCCCGGCTTTATTTTTGATTTATTGTAGAGATGAGGTCTCCAAGTGCCCAGGCGAGTCTCGAACCCACGGGCTCAGGCAACCCACTCACCTCGGCCTCCCAAAGCGCTGGGATTACAGGCTGAGCCACCGAGCCCAGTCACCTGGCTGATTTTTATTTTTATTTTTTTTTAGTTGGAGTCTCACTCTGTCACCCAGGCTGGAGTGTGCAGTGGCATGCTCACGGCCACTGCAGTCTCAACACGCTAGGTTCAAGTGATCCTTCCACCTCAGCCTTCCAAGTAGCTGGAACTACAGGTGTGCACCACCACGCCCAGCTAATTTTTTAATTTATTGTAGAGACGAGGTCTCACCAAGTTGCCCAGGCTGATCTCAAACCCCTGGGCTCAGGCAATCCTCTCGCGTCCGCCTCTGAAAGTGCTGGGATGACAGGCTTGAGCTACCAAGCCCAGCTGATTTTTAACTTTTTGTAGAGATGTGGGTCTCAGTATGTTTCTCAGGCTGGTCTTGAACTCCTGGCTTCAAGTGATCCTTCAGCCTCGGCCTCCCAAAGCCCTGGGATTATAGGCGTAAGCCACCATGGTCGACCTAGGATGGAGGGTTTTTACAGACAAGGAGAGGATTGGGAAATGATCAGCCTGCTGGAGAGAACTTGAACCAGGGGCACAGACTCCAAAGCACTGAGGGTGGGGCAGGGGCACAAGAGAAGCAGGCAGGGGACCACAGTGACGGTGGGTAAGTGGCTGGCTGCTGCCTGCGGGGGGTCAGGCCTAGTGTCCATTTCCCAACCTCTTAGAACCCAGAAAGTACCTGTGTATGCATGTTTATTGCAGCATTATTCACAATAGCAAAAACATGGAACCAACCGTGCTGCCCATCAGAAGTGGACTGGATAAAGAAAATGTGGTACATATACACGATGGAACATATATTTTTTTAAGTTGGAGTCTCACTCTGTCGCCCAGACTGGAGTGCAGTGGCCGCTCCCGGCCACCGCAGCTACGACCTACTGGGCTCCGGCGATCCTTCCCCCTCAGCCTTCCAAGAAGCCGGAACTACAGGCTCGCGCTACCACGTCCGGCTAATTTTTGATTTATTACAGAGATGCGGTCTCACCAAGTTGCCTGGGCTAGTCTTGAACCCGCGGGCTCAGGCAATCCACTCACCTTGGCCTCCCAAAGTGCTGGAATTGCAGGCTGAGCCACCGAGACTGGCTATGATGGAATATTACACAGTCATAAAGGACAAAATTATAAACGTTGCAGCAACTTGGATGGACTTAGCGTCTATAATACTCAGTGATCTATCACAGAAACAAAGATCTGAGTACCACAAGTTCTCACTCATAAGGGGACCCTGAACATTTACCATAATACTATAAGAAAGGGATTGGTGGCCGGGCTTGGTGGCTCAGTCTGTAATCCCAGCACTTTGGGGGGCCGAGGCAAGTGGATTGCCTGAGCTCGCGGGTTTGAGACTCCCCTGGGCAACTTGGCGAGACCTCATCTTTACAATAAATAAAAAATTAAGCCGGGCTCGGTGGCTCAGCCTGTAATCCTGCACCTTTGGGA